TTCTGGCTTATGAGGATAGCTAACATCGTGCGTGTGACGATCATCGTGACGAGGTACCGAGATTGGAGGAGTCGCTGAATGAAGACCACTCAGTATACTGTTGTCTTGATCAGTACCGCAACCGCGCGCGCCAGAATCGTGAAAGATGTTGGTACGGTCGCCCTCGATGCCACTGCCATCATCCGTCGCTCCCCGGCCACCTTCAGGCCGCTGCCACTGATGTCGCTGAAAGGAAGTTTCGATCTTCAAGCCTGCCAATCCGTTCCTTTCTTTATGAGCCATGCCCTCAAAGAGGACAACTCCGTAATAAGTGGAAAAGCTAAAATGGTGATGAGGTTGCTGAATTTCGCGATGATACGATGAGGCGACTACATGGGAGGGTCGACGGAGGTCCGTTGTCTTTCAACTCTGTCGATTATTGGGGGCAACCATAAAAACGGGTCGTACGATTCAAACAGAAGGGGTTCCACTTGCAGATGAAGGAGAGTCAGTGAAAGAGGAGTATAACTAGAGGATGAGTCACCTGTCCACAGAGATTTGGATGAAAAGATTGTTGAAGCGTCGAATCTGAGATGAAGGTGATGGGCAAGGATGGGTGTATCGGGTGATGACGGGACGATTGTTGCGAAGGCTCGGAAAGTGAGCAGTGAGCGTGGCAGATCGACACTAATTTGTTCACCGTCCAATGAACGGTGCTTTATCATCATGCAGACCCCATTATGTCACCTGATAAGTGGGCCCGGTCCTACGATTCTTTGCCCTAGGGTCAAACAAGCACGTGCTAACCCTATCGTAGTTAGAGCATTCTGGCTGAAGTGCCTGGCTCAGGCACTTAGGCCAATCCTAATAAGCGCGCGCAAGGGGCGCTTGTTTTGGACCTTTCGGACGTTGTCTTGATAGTCCGGGGAACACGTTGGGCTACCCGGTCATTGACACGGCCACGGGCGTTGCATATCTCTTCTTTTCTTCCTAGTTTGGCCTGTACTTGTCAAGAATCGCTCTGGAAGTATTTCTTTCGTCTTGCGGGCCATATTGCCATTATTTGACCGTCTATCCTTGATACCTTCGGCCGACGCTCTCTGCGGAATTGACCAAGCTGGCGCTGTCACTTTGATTAACTTCAGACTCTTTGACACTTATCCTTGCGTCTTTAATTGACAAGAGTCTCCTTCAATTCGACCATTTTATTCCTGTTCTGTTTTGTTTTTTTCAATTCTAATTCTTTCTTTTTCTTTTTTGTTTTACCTCCACAACAATCGTTATTGGGTTGAATCTTGTTTTGCACTCTCTTGCGACATCGATGACGCCTGATTGCTCAGTCTCTCCTCGGTCTTCAATTTTCGAGCTCTCAATACAATCTCCTCGCTTTTCTAGGGACCAAATATCCGAGAAAAATCGAAGATGACAAGACCTCGAATCGTCCGAGCTGGTATGTGCCGAAACAATCACTCCGCACTGGCAAAGTCCCAGAGCTGTGCCGTTGAGATTCTGACTCGCTCGCGGTAGACACGCTCGATCTTCAAGATCACCATGCTCCCTCGGCTAAAGATCATTCGAAGCATTCCTTCAATTCAGGCAGCGGCCTTGCACCGCATCAGGAACATACCCTTCGCCATGCGGATCAAGACGCAAGAAATGAGATGATACACGGCCCCAATTTGGACGCGAGCCACCTGAATGCTGACCACTACCATGATGGCATGGATATTCGTGACGATATGGACGTTGCGGATGCAAGATTAGGCCATGGTTCAGAAGAAGGCGACCTCGCAGACGAAGAAAGTGACGATCTGTTGGATGATGATTTGATGGACAAAATCTCAAGTTCGCCGTCAATTGACGATGGTAAGCACCGGACCTTGAAACTTTGATATTCGCGGGATGGTTCGTTGCGCTGCACTTCTTGTTGCCGTGCAATGTCCACATGGCCCTCATACTTCTCGAAATTTCCAGATGCACATGGCTTACATCGAGTAGAAGATATTGATTTCGAATTCGTCTACGCTCTTCACAATTTTGTCGCCACGGTTGATGGACAAGCCAACGCAGCAAAAGGAGATACAATGGTCCTTCTCGACGATAGCAACAGCTACTGGTGGCTCGTTCGAATCGTCAAGGATGGCAGCATCGGTAAAATTTCTCCCTCGCCCTCCCCAAAACCGTTCCCTGACAGTTTATAGGGTATCTGCCGGCTGAGCATATAGAAACACCCACAGAAAGACTTGCAAGGCTGAACAAGCATCGAAATGTTGATGTAGGTGATATCCGCTGAGTACTAGGACTCTCTAACAGCAGCAGTTGTCAGCGACGATGCTGGGTGACAATTCAGAGAAATCCAAAAATCCGTTAAAGAAAGCAATGCGCCGCAGGAATGCAAAAAACGTCACCTTCACCGCTCCGACCTACATTGAAGCGTCCGATATTGATTGGTCGACCGAGGATGAAATCGACGACGGGGACTCTCTTATCGACGGCGGAGAGATCATACGCGATGGCGATGATCTGCAGGATGATCACAATGATGATATCGTCGTCGAGCCTCTCAGACCGAAGTCAAATCGCGACAAGGTCAGTGATGAGTCGGAAAACATGGAAGAAACTCAGGAGTCTGGCTCTACGAGCCCCGAGAAGCAACGCTCCAGCCAGGAGTTGTTTGAGACAGCAAGTAAGCAAATTCTGCCGCGTTTTGCTGGACCGGACCTAAACCTTGCTGATCGACATTAGGTGAACCTACTATCAGCAGATCTCGGAATGGTACCGTGAGGAACACGGATTCGTTCTTCAAAGACGACACTGTTGAGACTAAGAAGATATCTCTGACGCCGAATTTGCTTCGTGACGAAGTGAGCAGTGGCGGGCTCTCGAGCGAGACAAAGGAGGTGTGTATACATCCGTCAATTCAGGGAGAAGATCGCGCGCGTAAATGGTGCTAACTGTGCTGGAATTGTCTCAAGGGCCGCGGAAGCTTTGACAACATTGACAAAGCATTGGGTGCAAACGACAAAGGCAGGGATGACAAGAAGAGAAAGGACAAGAAGCCAGGGATGCTGAGTGGGCTATTCAAGCGGAAGGATAAAAGAAGCAAATCTACTGAAGATGAATCTGAGGAGCCAGAAAAGGTCTCAGGCGAATTATCCCGAACATCGCCCATACCTAAGACGTCCTCTGAGTCAGTGTCGTCCCCCGAGTCACGGCCAGCGAAAGGGAACCCGGCACAAAAGCAGACAACTAAGTCCCAGAAGCAGACTCTCCCTGCAACCTCGCCCGCCAAGCAAGCGGTTCAGCATGACAATGCGCCTGTTGCCGTCGAAAGTGGTGAAAAGGCGCTTACAAAGGCAAAACAAAAGGCTGATACAATCCGACAAGTGGTTTCTGAGGACGACGACATTCTTCCTCAGCCCACACGTTCAATGGCTTCTGAGGACGCGGAAAACGGTGTACTGTCTCCTGTTGACACGATAGATTCCTCCGCAAAGCGGGATCCTGAGGAGGTAATTGCAAGGGATGCTACGATCGATCGCGTTGAGTTCCAACATGAAGAAAGACAAAGTCCTTACGATCGGATGGTTGCACTCCACCCCTCTGTGACATCTCAGCCGCATAGATCTCCGCAGAAACAGGAGAACTCATATCATGACCGAGGACCAGAGTCGCCTGCGAGTGTGTCACCAGTCGAGGCCACAAAGGATTATTCTGTCTCCCCAATCTCGCCACCGATTTCCCCGGTCGAAAACGCCAGCGAGAGCAAGGGCATTGATACAGTCGCCTCTCCAACGGAACGACTTTCTGCGGAAACCCCGACTTGGAGCGACGCTAGTCTGCGGTCGTACTTGGACGACGAGAACGACATCCGCGATTTGTACATTATTGTGCACGATAGTTCGAACATCCCTCCGGCTGGTCCTGAGCATCCAATCACGGGCAGCCTTTTCAAGGAGGAAAGCAGGAGATTGAAGGAAATGAGCAGCCAGTTGGACATGATGCTAGCTGACTGGGTCGGTCGGCGCTTGCGAAATGCAACTGCCACAAAGACAGTAGGCGTTACAGCGTTGTGACTGCTCTGTTGATCTAATAGTTGTAGGTCATGCAAATCTCGTTCGAACTTTTATCGGGGTTCTTCTGATGGCCAGATGCTTGATTGTGCTGGGCGCATTACATGAGCTATACTTCCCACTGGCTCGTTTCTATTCTAGCCGGTTTTAAACCGGGTCATTATACATTTTGCCTTTTTGCTTTTTCCCCCCTCTCTCATAGTCTCATTAGCCTTTTCTCTTATTCGACTCAAAGGGCGCTGGTGTGAATTCCTTTCCAGAGACCGCGAAAGCCCCTTGTCGCCAGCTTGTTTGTTTCATTCCTTGTTCCCCTCGTTGAAGAAGTGAGTTTATCACAAGCTATTTTGGGCTTGCTGGGATCTCGTCCTTCTTTCTCTACTGTCACTTTTCTTTTCCTCGCTTTACCTCTATTGGGATACCCCGAGGCATATATGGGCTTGTTCGACTCTTGCATGCTTCCTCTGCTCTACAGCCATGTTAGCATCTCTTATCATAACTCTTACCTCTTACAAATGAAGACAAAGATATCCTGCAGATCACTCTGTGGCACACGCTCTAGGCTCCTGATTATGAATATGGTAGATTGTAAACAAAGCCTTGCTGTCTCGCTACCAGTGTACGGCTTCGCTTATTCTTGATAGCGGTATCTTTAATCTTCTAGACTGTGTCACTTTGACACCCTTATTAAGCACATAACTCGAGGGTCTCCTTGAGTTATGTGGAATACCCCTAGTACCGTGACTGGATGATGTCGCGCGGGAAGGTCATCTGGTGCCGACGCAGTCATACAGCTTACACCTCAGCCGCACGGGACAGCCGATCCTTGATTGATCGAATCTTTCGTTATAAAGCATTGCCTGACATCATTCAGCCTGTTTCTTCTTAAATTGCAATTTCTCCTACTCTGAACGAATCCATTTGCCTCTCGCAAGTCTTCAGCTCTCGAAGATGTCGGACCCATATCGCCAGTACCCGCCCTATAACGCTGCAGCTCCAGGTCCGCACCCTAGCGGCGGGGCATACTATGCGCCCCAGGACGCCCCGCATGATTATGGTTCTCAGCAACCATATGGGCAGCCTGGCCAGCTTCAACAGTATACAGGTGCCTACAATTCCCAGTATGATTTGAGCCAGCAAGCGCAACAGTATCAGCAGCCGCCGCAGAGGGATTTTCTGAGCCCGTCTGATGCGCTAGGGTACCAGCATGCGCCCGGAAACCACGAAGCTAGAGGTCGCCAGGGCAGCAACGCTGAGTATTAGTATGCCACCTTCCTCGCAATTTGATTCTATCTTCGACTAATGCCTTACAGCAACCAGCATATCGACGAACATAGAGATGTTTCCCGATCACGGCGCAGCCGATCCCGCGCGTCCAGTAGCACGATGAAGGTCAGGTCCGAATCGCGGTCTAGGTCTAGATCTGGTTCATCTGGGAAGGACCGAGACCTTGCGGGAACGTTGCTGGGGGGTGCGTCTGGATACTACCTGGGACATAAACAAAATCATGGTATCCTTGGTGCCTTGGGTGGTGCGCTATTAGGAAATTTTGTGGGGGATCGAATCAAGGAACACAGTGAGCATGGCGAGGATCATCATAAGCGCCATCGCCATCGTCACCATCATCATGATCATGATCATGAGCATCACAGTCATCACAGTCATCACAGTCATAGCCACCATGGCCATCGGCATCATCGGAGCCGCTCGAGACATAGTGCACACAGTGGCGATTCCTGATGCTTGCGTTCCCTGTGGGGAGTGGTAACCCTGGCATGAGGTGATGCACATGATTTTGAATTGTTCTTCCTCGTTTGTTGTACTACTTTTCATCATGCCCTTGCTTGTGGTTTCAGTTCGCTCATGTTTGTCTTTGCAGTAGCAGATGGATTATTTATTTTGCTCCTAAAGATTAGCTATGCAGTGATGCCCCGCATGTTCGTAGCGCGCTCTGTGCTTAATGAATGGCCGCTTGATATGCCTGGCAGACTATGGGTAACTGCAAATTTTGCCTTGATCGCTGCAGGCTCCAAATAGGAAGTGACAAAACAACGTCAGAGTCTAAGAGTCTTTCACATCTTGAGTAGATCCTTCAGTCCACTCTACGCTGGAGCATTCTTGAGAAAATATAGAGTATTGGTGTTGACATGGATCATTTGGTACGCACAATAATGGGAGCGCTACTGATCACCTGACCTTGATGTCATGAACTAGGTAGAACTTGATAAGGGTCGGTACCGATGAAAACGGAAAACCAGATTCTTATCAAAGGAGGAATGATGATGATTGTGATGTAACCAAGGTAGTATCGAGGGACGGCACGTGACCACTTATCTTACGAACAGATGTTAGTCAGTGATCCCGTCCTAGTCCGAATGCGGGGGCGGTTTGAAATGAAGCAGCCAATGGTATCAGCAGGATACGCCGATACAGATCAGGAGTTATCTATCTGCTGAAGGGTCGTTTATCAACTTGTGGAGCGTGATTCATTTGTGTCTGACTGTCTGTATCAATGCAAGTGGTCGATCTCTCTCTCAGCTGAGCCCACAATGGATGACTCGTGACCCATACTCGAGGGGGCAGTGTGACTCCCCCAAACGGATGGACAGACAACACAGCCCTGAGTCCTTGTACTCTTTCACTCCTTCAATCAACGATATCCTTTTCTATCAACCTTGAATCTTTTCTTTGTGTCAAGAATACCCCAAGGATAAGAACATACTATATGACTCTCCGTTGTTCATGTTGTTGAAAGACATCTTTCTCGCTCCGCTTTGCTCTTTCCCGTGTACTTCCCCAGAATCTGCCCACATTCATTTGGGAATCAGCAGGCAGCCTGAGCCAGCAAGAGGGTAATTGTGAGGTTGAATAGAGTCATTCAGTATGCCTCCTCCGTTATTATACAATGTCTTGCCAGCCGCTCTTCCAGCACACTGTGAGCCCTCGTCACCATTCCTAGCTGCCGTTTCGTCTCACTTGCATATGTGCCTTCCCACGCCTCTTGCGCTCTTATCTTCGATTCTCGGAACGCTCAGCATCATATCCTGGCTTTTTGCACAGCTTCCCCAAATATACAAGAACTACCAGTTGCAGTCAACGTCCGGCCTGTCCCTGTTCTTTCTCGTCGAATGGTGCCTTGGTGATGCGGGTAACCTTGTGGGTGCTCTGTTTACCCGTCAGGCAACCTGGCAAGTCATCATAGCCGCCTACTACGTCTTGGTGGACGTCACCCTAGTGTTTCAGTTCTTTTGGTATACACACTATAAAGGCCCAAGGGTCGCGTACCGTGACCACTCTCACTCTCACCATGGCGACGACACCGGAGCGTTCCTCGAGGGAGTGCCGCTATCAGAAGAGGATTCGATCACTGATATCCCACCACAAAAGCCTGCAACGGAAGTCTCAGCCACAAAGGATGAGGAGCTCCTCAAGAAATCGGCGCCCATTGCGATAGACAGCCAACCGCTACTATACATTAACGAGAAGTTGAGCTCGTCTCGTCGCACGATCACCAGATCAGCCAGTGGTCCCAGCCTGCCCCTCGCCTCCACGCGCACTCTGCTTCTGGCATCGGTGCTCTGCGCCGTTGTAGCCAACGCGCAGCCCACCGGCCACAACCTTCCGCCCGCGGCTTCACAACAGAACACCCTTGAACTGATCGGCCGAATCTCCTCCTGGATCTCAACGGTCCTCTACCTCGGCTCGCGTCCCCCTCAACTCATCAAGAACTACCGCCGCAAAAGCACCGCAGGGCTTTCCCCCTTACTCTTCATGGCCGCCTTCTGCGGGAACCTCTTCTACTCCGCCTCGCTCGCAACCAACCCCAACGCATGGTACGACTTCCCCCCGTGGGGTGGTCGCGGATGGGCAGGCGCAGACGGCAACAATCGCCTGGAATGGGTTGGCCTCTCCATCCCGTTCTTCTTCGGCGCCTTTGGCGTCCTCTTTCTCGACGGCTGCATGGGCCTGCAGTTCCTCATGTACGGCGCCCACGACGAAGAACAGATTGTTCGCATCATGTACCCAGAAAGAAGGAGTAGGTGGACCCGCGTTCGGGGCTGGATGAGGGGCTGGATCCCCTCCGTTTCCCCTCAGCGCGAATTCCACGACACCTCTGTGCAGGAAGGCCAGGCGCTCCTGCGCGGAGAACGAGAGAGATACGGCACTGTTTAGATCTTTGCGGCTCCTTCTGCTTCATGTTTCACCGATATCTTATTCCCTTTTTCCATACGACACAGCGTGCATGCTTCAACGCCTTGATGACCAGGAGTACACCTCCATTATTTCCTTGTGTTTTGCATTTTCTCGCCTCTTCTTGTCTTTGGCGTTGCATTTTGGGAATGGGGTTTTTTTTTTTTTTTTTTTTTTTCCCGGACGTACACGAATAGATGGATCATCGTCATGACTGGCCGTTTCTGACGGCATGATGCATGTGCATACATTTTGTTCCACTTTTGGTATTTTGCGATGGCGTCTCCTCATCATCACCTACTATTCAACCTAAGCGACGGTCTTCCTTTTTGCTTAGATATTCCCTGTGCTATCAACACGTCACTGCGGTCTAGTCATGTTTATACATCATGCTATGCATTACACTATGTTATGATATAGGGTCTTTAGACTATTCATCGAGGGGAATAGATCCTGACTTTTTCTAATGACGCTGTCTAGGGATGCTGGCTGGCAGAACAGGCTTTTCAATCGTGGATATATCCTTATTGTGTAAAAAATAATATATTAACAGTCATCTAAGTATGAACATTTAGGTACACTTCCGCCCAAGAAATCTCTCTTAGCAAGTCCACTTTCATCAACCCGATCAAGGTTCAAGCCCTGGGCCGTAATATCATGCACAATTAAGAGCCGGCCCCAATTCGGACCCTCCAGCACTTGGTGGGAAGACCGGAAATATGGTATGTGGTCTAAAAAGTCGAACAATGAAAGGATAGACGTGAGAAAATAATGATTAAAAGCAAGCGGCCGGGTTCTCCATGTCGTCCATCAGTGGAACGGACGAGATACTCGCCGAAGAAGGTAGAAGTTGCTTGGTCATTGTAGGTTCCGCAAAGGCGTATTCGTTCATTGTTCAGATACTCGTGACTTTGTTTTCAAACTAGACACTCCTCATCGACAGAGCAAAAGATCAACAGACGGTTGAAGCGAACCGTCTAGTGTTACAGGGCAAGAAGTGCTGAAAAACCTTGCGACGCGGCATGACCAGCATCACCGAATCTGGCTTATTATCGGTGGCTCATCCCACGCACGGCTCGACAATAGCGCATGATCAAGCGACATGCTTGTATCTCGGGTGGGAAAGAAAGCCAGGACGGGCACAATTTGCCCTTGAACTTCGTGACTCGTCATGCAGGCAGTTAGTACAGTGGCGATTGGACGTCTTGTACACCCCGTCTGATGACATCCTCAATACGCCAACGAGGAGGCACAATCTTCGGCGACCGCTTGCGCCGCAATTCTATCTCCTTCTCAGGAGGATGGCCCATAGCTTCATCGGCGGGTAGAGCGCCTCCGGCAATTCCGGTAGAAAACTTCAGTTGCAGGACATTGCCAATCTCGTCGCAGGCAGTCAGGACGCGGTCAAGGTCTTCCTTGGTGTGCGCGGCAGAAACGCAGAAACGAGCCCGAGAGGATACCAGAGGAGTGGCGGGGTATCCGACAACGACGACGGAGATCTTTCTTCTAAGCATCTCGTGGGAGAAGGCGGGCATCTTGGCAGGGTTGAAAAGAAGGACAGGAATAATTGGCGAATCGTCGTGACCGTACACTATAAAGCCAAGACGCTTCAACCCGAGGCGAAGATATCGAGAGTTGAAGGCCAAACGCTGCAACCGCTCTTCACCCTGGCCCGGAACAATCTCACCGTTGATGATGCGGAGCGCGGAAGAGATCTGTGCCAGAATAGCAGGAGCTGGCGCCTCGCCGTAGAAAATACCGGAATTGGTCGCACGGAGTTTGTCAATCATCGCTTTTTCAGCCGCAATGTAGCCCCCATTGGCGCCAAATGACTTGGTAAGGGTCCCCATCAGAATGTCTACCTCGCTCGTGTCGATGCTGAAATAGTCACAAACACCCCGCCCCTTGGGACCTATGGCTCCAATTGAGTGCGCCTCATCTACAAAGAGATGGAACTTATAGCGACGCTTCAGCGCAATGAGACCTGGAAGATTGCACATGGATCCTTCCATGGAGTACAGTCCTTCAACAACGACCAGGATTTTCTTCCATGGGCGATGAGTACGTGGCTG